CTGTGGGGGGCTGAGGGATAATGGGGTGGATGGGGAACCCCCTGCCCCGTGTCCTGCACACACAGGGGTGTTCCAGCTGATGACAAACCACGAGTGTCACTTCATCAACGGCACCGAGCGGGTGAGGTTCGTCGAGAGGCACATCTACAACCGGGAGCAGTTCCTACACTTCGACAGCGATGTGGGGGTCTATGTGGGGGACACCCCACGTGGGGAGATCCAGGCCAGGCACTTCAACAGTAAACGGGAATGGTTGGAGTACAAACGCTCTGCGGTGGACAGGTACTGCCGGTACAACTACAAGGCTGATGCTCCGTTCACCGTGGAGAGGAGAGGTGAGTGTGGGGCAGAGCGGGTCCCCTCGGCCCCTGCCCCGGGAATGACGCTGGAGCCCCTCAAACCCTCCCTGGCAATCACCCCAGACCCTTCAGCCCTCCCTGTGCCATTCCCCATGCCCTTTGGCCCCCTCCCAGTTTTTCCCAGTCCACTCCAGTCTCTCCCAGTCTCTCCCAGTTTCTCCCAGTGCACTCCAGTCCATCCTAATCCATCCCAGTCTCTCCCAGTGCATCCCCCCCGCGTCTCCACCCCGCTGGGGCCACCGAGCTCACGCCCCTCAGCCAATCCCAGCGCGTCTCTCTGATGACGCTCCAGTTGCCAGGCAGACCCAAACCAAAGAGTTCCCTCACCACGACTCAGCCTCCCAGTCCCGATCGCTTCCTTCCTAGTCCAGACCAATCATTCCTAGTCCCTCTCACTTAACTCTCAGTCCCTCTCATTCCACTCCCAGACCCTCTCAGTCCATTCCCGGTCGTTCTCACTTCACTCCCACATCTCCCAACTCTCTCCCCAGTGCCCCCCCAGCCCCTCCCCTTCTACCCCAGTCTATTCCCAGTCCCGCCCACTGCCATCCCAGTCCCTCCCAGTGCCATCCCAATCCTTACCAATGCCCTCCAAGCCCTCTCCCCTCCCTCCCAGTGCCCCCCAGCTCAGCCCAGTGTCTCCCCCGTCCCTCCCAGTGCCCCCCAGCGTGTCCATCTCGCTGGTGCCGTCGAGCTCCCAGCCCGGCCCCGGCCGCCTGCTCTGCTCCGTGATGGATTTCTACCCTGGGCCGGTGCAGGTGAGGTGGTTCCAGGATGGGCAGGAGCTGCCGGAGCACGTGGTGGCCACCGACGTGGTCCCCAACGGGGACTGGACCTACCAGGTGCTGGTGATGCTGGAAATCCCCCCCCGGCGCGGGGTCACCTACAGCTGCCAGGTGGAGCACGTCAGCCTGGAGCACCCCCTCAGCCGGCACTGGGGTACGGCCCGGCCCCCCCAGCCCCGGGGGCGACTGGGGGCGACTGGGAGGGAGTTTGGGGGGTGCTGGGGTTGATGGGAGGGGGGTTGAAGGGTCCTAAAGGGTCTGGGAGGGGCCGGGTGGGATCCCTGCAGGGGCTGGGAAGGGACTGGCAGGAGGTTGGAGGGACCCCCGGGTGGGCTGGGGGAGAGCGGGCTGGGCTCTGTGGGGTGCCGGGGGGTGCGTGGGAGGAGGTTTTGGGGGTGCTGACCCCCCCGGCTCCCCCCAGAGATGCCACCGGACACCGTCCGCAGCAAGATCCTGGTGGGGGTCGGGGGCTTCGTCTTGGGCTTGGTCTTCCTGGCGCTGGGGCTCGGCTTCTACCTGCGGGAGA